AATTTACTGTCCGTTTCATCTACCTTCCTCTCCCAGCAATCAGAGGTGGAAAGGTAATGCCGTGCTGGAAACACCACCAGCTGGGCCAAGGGGAGAGACCCTCATCAGGGAACACAGAGGAGGAGCCCAGCAGTGGCCCAGACTTCACTCTCCTCACAGAGCTGAGCTGTCCAGGCCTTTCTCTCACCACTTCTACCTGGGAGAAGAGGCCAAACGAGGTACTAACCCTCCAGATCCGAGGAAGGCTCCAGGGCCAAGAGGCCCAAAAGCGGGAGGTGGGTCCCTCAGCTATTCTGCATGCATATCACACTTGAACAAAAAGTTATAAGAGGAAAAAGAGACAAAGAACCCAACCTGAAAGGAAACAGGACCCAGGGACAGAAGGACGTTCATCCCAATTACTTCATGCAATGGAACAATTTAATGAGGTTGTCAAAATAAGAGATGTATTAATGAAATAAATTATTTAAAGAAAAATTTTAAAGATTTATTTATTTATTGGAGAAATACAGAAAGCACAAGCGGGAGGGGCAGAGGCAGAGAGAATCTCAAGCTGACTCCCCACTGAGTGTGGAGCCCAACGTGGGGCTCGAACTCATTACCCTGAGATCAGGACCTGAGCGGACACTGAGTCAGATGCCCAACCATCTGTGCCACCAGGTGCCCCATTTAAAGAAATTTTTGAAAGTTGTAAATGAGGGGCACCTGGGTGGCTCAGTTGGTTAAGCAACTACCTTTGGCTCAGGTCATGATCCTGGAGTCCCGGGATCGAGTTCCGCATCGGGCTCCGAGCTCCACGGAGAGTCTGCTTCTCCCTCTGACCTTCTCCCCAACTCATGCTCTCTCTCTCTCAAATAAATAAATAAAACCTTTAAAAAAAAAAGAAAATTGTAAATGAAAATTGTAAAAGTAAGGAAAAAATTGCAGAACACAGCAACATCATTTACTAAACTAACAAGTAAGCTAGAAACAGTTTACTAAAATAAAAATTACCAACAAATAGGAAAGGCTTGAGATGCCCACAGAAATTCAGAAGAGAGAGACGAAAAGGATGGCAGTAGCATCGCGGCACCCCAAAGGTATCCACATTGTAATCCTCAGAATATGTGTCTCCAGGAGGTTATGGCAAAGGGGAGTGAAGGCTGCAGAAGGAATTAGGTTTGCTAGGTTTGCTAATCAGTTGACATTTTTTTTTAAAGATTTTATTTATTTATTTGACAGACAGAGATCACAAGCAGGCAGAGAGGCAGACAGAGAGAGGGGGAAGCAGGCTTTCTGCGGCGCAGAAAGTCTGATGCGGGGCTCGATCCCAGGACCCTGAGATCATGACCTGAATCGAAGGCAGAAGCTTTAACCCACTGAGCCATCCAGGCGCCCCTCGGTTGATCTTTAAGTACAGAGACTATCCTGCATTAACAAACGGGCCCAGCACCATCACAAAGCTCCTAAAAGCAGAAGAGGGAGACCGAGTCAGGCTGGAGTGGTACAGCGTGAGATGGGCAGCATCACCATTGCAGGAGGGCTCTAGAAGCTGGAAAAGGCAAGCAAAGCAGACTCACCACTGGCACCTCCAGAAAGGACACAGCCCTACCAACACCTCAGTTTCATCCCAGGGCTCGGTGGCCCTCCAGAACTGTCAGATAATAAATCTGTTTTAAGCCACTAAATTCGTGGTAATTTGCCCAGCAGCAATAGGAAAACTGACATAAACACCAATCAATGCAACAGATGTTTTAGGGACATGAAGTAAATTTCCCTGACATTAAATACAAAATCTACAAATTCAAAGAGTGCACTGTGTACCAGAAGTTCAACACCAAGCATCCAACTTTGAGACACGGTCCGCTTAAGCTGAGGGTCTCTGAAGAAAAGGCAACTCATCCACAAGGAGAGACTTTCTGACCTCAGGCTCCGAGGCAGCTCAGAGCAAGCGAGAGAGCCCAGTGGGGCCACTGGGAGGAAGAAAGAACGTGTGGCCTAAGGATACATGCTAACCTGCATGAGATACTGTTCACAGGTAAAGACAGTGCACAGACATTCTCAAACATGAACACACTCAGGAAATACTCATGACCCCTTCCTGGAGAATGGCCAGAAATGAAATGTAGCTAATTGGAGGGACAGCAAAATACAGAAGTCACAGACACAGCAGTGGTCAGCGCCGAAGCCAGGTAAACTTCTAAGACTGAGGGACTGCGGACACTGTACCCCCAAACCGGGGCGAAGTCAGAGCAACAGGGCATGTGCACTTGGAGTGGGGGGATGGGAACAGGAGGCTGGAAGTGCCCTCCCCTTCCTCGAAGTATTATGAATAATAACAATACTGACCATGATTCCAACTTCTTACAGTCTCCTGAAAAGTGCCTTTTTAACCTAAATCCTCCCTCTGTGTTGAAGAAAAACCTTTAGAAGAAAGTGTTAACTAGTTGCTTGAACAAGTGCTCAGTTTGTGCATAAAAGAGAGTAACACAACAGAGGGTACCCAAGTCTCTGCTCAATCAGCCGGACGCAGACTGCGCACATTCCTGCGTCTGCGCACGTCACTCGCCCACTGTAAGAAATCAGAACTCCAGCTTGTCCCCCCCAGGGGCACAGTTTTTAAAAGCAGGTGCGTGATTTGTTCAATGTCTCTTCCTCCACCCGCTGCACCCCCGACCCTGGGGACCCTCTGCCCTCCTAGAGCTGAAGCCCCAGAGCCGAGCTGTCCAGTGGGGCTCTGCCACACCCCTCACAAACCAAGTGTCAGTCAGGTGTTGCTGCTGAGCATTTGAAGTGCAGCTAATACGACCCTTTCATTTTATCTCATTTTCATTCCTTTAAATTTAAAAAAATCTCATGTGGCTGATGGCATCACCTTGAATAACACGGATCTGGAACTAGAGACACAATCCAAATGCGATTTTCACAAGTCCCCTGGTGACTCTCGCCCTGGCAGCTTCAGGAAGAGCCCAGGTTCTTGGCATCAGTTCTCCAGAACCAACCAAAACTCTCCCAAACTTTCTCCCCACTCGCACGCCTCCAATCTTTTTAAAATTTTTTAGGATTTTATTTATTTGTTTAACACAGAGAGAGAGATCACAAGCAGGCAGAGAGGCAGGCAGAGAGAGAGGGGGAAGCAGGGGCTCGATCCCAGGATCCTGAGATCATGACATGAGCCGAAGGCACCCATCTTAAAGGCCTGTCCCAAGCCATTCCACTTAAGCTACTCACATGCCTGCGCAGAAGCCACAGGCTCCCTCCCTCCACCAGCGCTGCAGACCCACTTTCTCTCTTTACATCGCTCACCCCCAGAGAGCCCACCTTGCTTCCCGAGGTAACCTTCGCCCTGCACCTCCTGCTGCTCTTGACTCAACCCAAGTTGATCCCCCAGGGAGGTCCGCTGGACCCAGAGCTTCCTTCTCTGCACTTTCCTCTCAGGTCCCTGCTTCCTGCTCAGGGCAGAAGCACACCTGGGCGGGCTTGAACATCAAGACTGGACTTCTGGGCTGCCCTCCTCCGTTTCTGGAGAGCCCAACCGCAAGCCCAGGAGGCAGGAAGGAGCAAGACCCTGAGCAGTCAGGTTAGCGCTGGAAGTGCGCCTGGAGCCCCTAACGTGACAGGGAAAAGGTGATCGCCGGCGGGGATCCTTCACAGCCACAGGACCTGACTCTTTTCCTGCCTGCTGGCCCAGCTTTCTGCCCACCTCACTTTCCTCTCCTCTCCCCTGCCCTTCTTTCCTTCCTAACGTCCACCCCATCTTGGGGCCTGCGGCCCTCAAACCCCAAACTTTAGGGACCCTCTGCCCACTGTCCTCAAGCTCTGAGTCCTCCGGCTCCACCCCGCCCCCGGAACCCACACTCCTTCACTTTCTATAGCGCTTCCCTTCCTCGCCCTCAGGCCACATTCTCACGGGTCATTTGGGTTTCTTGCCGTCCCGGGCCTTTTCGCCAGGATGAGGAGCCCCTTGGACACGCCAGGAACCTCGGAGAACCTTCCGGACTAGTTCTCTTGCTTCCATTCACGCTCCCCTTCTATCTCGCCACGCGCAGAGCCACCACCTGGGAGCCTCTGCTAGCTGCGCTCGGATCCCACGCGCCATTCCCTCCCGCCCCCTCCTTACCCCCCACGCATCCTTTCCAAACGCGTCGCACGCGCTAGTGGCTTCCTGGCTGGGCCCCGTCGCAGCAGCCCGGCTGCCTCCTTCTCAAACTCCACCGGCGTGATCCGTGCGTTCCCCTCCGCCTCACCGTCATCGGGGTCAGTAGTACCCCAGCACCCTGCTCAGCCGCTAGCTCCCGCGGGAGGCGGACCTTGGTGAGACTATGGAGGACGCTCTGCGCTCCCCACGTGTGGAACTGGGGGTGCAGCGGGGGATTCCCTCCAAGCGCGCGCCCGACTCACTCAGAGGGGCGGGCGGTGAACCCAGCGCTCCTTGATCCGCTGCCCTTCGCATAGTCCACAGTTTCTCCTCTCTGCGCCTGGTCGGGCTCGCTCCCAGTCCCTGCACCCCCAGCTCCTCGCCGCGCTACTCAGGTCCCTGTGTCCAGCTCCACGGTGCCCACCGTGCGCTTCCCCAGGTCTCCCATGAGCTCTCTGGCCCGCAGCGCCCTCGCCTGATCCCGGGTGCGCTCCCAGGCCCTCGGCTCGCTCCCCTGGTCCCCCCTTGCGCTCCCTGGCCCGCCGCGCCTTCCTCAGCCCCAGAGCGCTCCTCCGGCCCCTCTCCTCCCGGCTCACAGCGCGCTCCCCCGTGCGCTCCCTGGCCCTCCGCGCGCTCCCCGGGTCCCCCGTCAGCTGCCTGCCCCGCTGCGCGCTCCCTTGGTACCCCCGGAACTCCCCGGCCCGCCGCACACCCCCCAGGCCCCCACCCCACCCCACCCCAGGCTCCGCCCCCACCCCACCCCACCCCCCAGCTCGCCGCGCGCTCCACCGTCCCCCCGGGCGCTCCCCGGGCCCCCTTGCGCTTCCCGCAGCCCATCGCGCGCTCCCTGGGCTCTGCTCGCCGGTCCTGGCCCCGCGCTCACCCGCCGGGTGGCCATACGGGGACTCGGCTGCGCCATCCTGCAGGCTCGCCAGGATCTCCCCTTTGCCCACGTCGCTGTCGCCCACCAGCAAGAACTTGAGCAGAAAGTCGTAAGCGCGGACAGGGCTGCCCAGGGTGCTCATCGTGCCGCCGCCGACGCCTGCGCCCATGCCCGGCTCGCCGGACGGCGCGGAGGCGGCGGCCGGCTCCGAGGCACGAGCGGGCCCAGCCTTCCGCCGATCGCCGCGGGCCGGCGGCCCCCGCTGCTGACAGCGCGTAGCCCCGCCCCGGCCCGCCATTGGCGACCCGCAGTTGCTAGGGCGGCTGCGCTCACTCATTGACTGAGCTGCCCGTCCATCTCCCTTTCGTCTCCGCCTCCAGGCCATGGTCCACCCTCCCCTGCCGGGAGGATCTGGTCTTCGCCGCCTTTGCCAGGTTGGGGGCGGGGACCAAAAGCGACGTTGTTGCGGCCACAGCCAATGAGGTCCGGAGGCGGGTTGGGGCGGAGCCAGGGGGCGGGAAGTCCAGGGGCTGGGCTGGTTCTCGAACTGCTGTGGAGCCTCGAAGGCCGAACCCGGCCGGCCCGGGCGCGGGCCGGGCCGCAGGGTTGGCCACCCCGGCGCCGCGTCCTCCACGTCCTGCCACCTGGAGACGTCGCTGGGCCGGGTGGGGGGGCCGCAAGGGCGGGTTCCGTTCTCGGACATGCAGCCGGGAGGCTAGGGCCAGGTCGCCTGGCGTCAAGCCTCCCTGTCCCGGTGAGCCTTGGCTCGTGGTGTCCCCCACGGCTCCTCCAGAACCTTGTCTTTGTCCCAGAGCGCGTGGGTGCGCGTGTCTGTGTGTGCGCGTGCGCCTGTGTACGTGTGCACGTGTTCGTGTGTGTGCCTACGTGCGCCTCCGCTTGTGTGTGTGCGTGTCATGTGCCAGCACACGTGCGCCTGTGTGCGTGTGTTTGTGCCGGAGCTGGGGGAGAGGGCCACGTGGGGACCCTGCAGTTCCCAGACTTCTCTCCCCATCTAGGGAGTAATGGGCGGTGGAGAGAGATTGACCTGATTGGCTCTCAGATCCAATACCAAAATTCCCAGGTAGGATCAGCCCTGCTGGGTGGGAATCCATGCCCACCTCTGGACCAATCAACTGTAGTAGGGGGCTCCGGCAGCATCCCACAAGGAGGATCTCTTCATATTTGGCAACCTTATATCCAATCATCTTAGAATATCCTCTGAGTATGCATAATCAAGGTCCCCACCCCATTACGCCAGGCCTCCACCCTTGAGCTGTGAGTGAGCCTGGGGGTGCCTCAGAGCTGGACAGAGTGGGGTCTGGGGGCACTCTTGTACATCCCATCCAATTAAAATGACCCCCTTGCACACCTGCCGTCTCCACATTCTGGGCTATCTGCAGCTCGGGAGAGGCACAACAACTCGAAAATGTGCTCCCTTGTCACAAGCAGCAGGTACAGATTTCACAAACACTACAAACAGGAGAAGCCCTTGTCATTCGTGAGCAGAAGGGGCCTGTCTTCATCAGCTTGGGCTGCTATGACAAAATACCCCGGGCTGGGGGCTTAAACCGCAGACATTTATTTCTCACTGTTCTGTAGGTTAGAAGTCCATGACCAAGGTGCTGGCTGTTTTGGTTCCCGGTGAGCAGGTGGCTGCCTTCTTCCCATGTCTTCACAGAGTGGGGGCCAGAGCGAGCGCATGCAAGCTTTCTGGTGTCTGTCTTCTGAGGACACTAACCTCATCACAAGGGCTCCCACTCTGATATCTAGCTCTAACTACCTTCCAAAGACCCCCTCTCCTGGTATTATCACACTGGGATTTAGGACTTCAATTTACGGATTGGGGGGTCATATTCAGTCCACAATAGGGCCCATGGTGGGGAGGGGCCCTGGGCCCACCCTTAGCAAAACTGAGTTCTGGAGTGAGGGGTTCTGCCCCCTGAGAACTGGGGCTCGGAATTTTGTGCCCATCAATCCTTCAGCTAGCCTTTCCCTGTATGGTCTCGGGGACCAGAGCAGGATGTCTGGATTATTCTCTGGGGTGGGCTGTTCTGTTCACTGCCAGATGCTGAGCAGCATACCTGTCCCTACCCGTTAGACGTCGTGCACGCCTCTCCCAGTTGTAACCACTCGAACATCTCCAGAATTGCACATGGCTATCCTCACCTTGAAATGAAAACAGGTAGGCCTCCTCCCACCCCGGCAGCTCCCATGAGCACATCTTGGCAGATTGTAAGTGATCTCAGTTTCCTTAATGTCGGCAGTGACATTAAGGGGTAAGTGCAGGTCATATGTGACTCCAAGGAAAAGGGGGAGAGACTCTTGCTACATTGTCCCTGGGGTCAGGGGCAAGGATGTAGAGCAGTCCAGGCCCATGGTGAGAGCCCCAGGACCTATGTGGTTGCCCACTTTAACCTCACTGCAGTCCTGAGAGGTGGAGCTTGTCATTACTACTACACGGAGGAAGGGAGGGCTCAAAGAAACTGGGAGTGCCAGGGGCCCTGACTGCAGCTTCCAGTGTTGGAGCTGGTCAGTGCAGCAACACAGCCCCAGTTTTGTTTTGTTTTTATTTTTAAATTGTGGTAAAATATATATAACACCCAATTTACCATTTTACCCATGTTTGGGTGTGCAGCTCAGTGGCATGAAGCCCATTCACATTGCGCAACCATCATCACGTCCGTCCACAGAGCGTTTTCATCTCTGTCAAGCTGAAACTCTGTCCCCAAGAAACACTAACTCCCCCATCTGCCTCCCCAGCCCCTGGAACCTACCATTCTATCTTCTATGAATGTGATGGCTCTAGGAACCTCGCATAAATAGAACGGGGCGACATTCATCCTCTGGTGAGTGGGTTATTTCACTCAGCGTGTCTTCACTGTTCACCATGTTGTGGTGTCAGAGTTTCCTTCCTTCTTAAAGCTGAATAGTATTCCATAGAGTGAATGGACCACATTTTGCTTATCTATTAATCTGCGGGTGGACATTTAGGTAGTTCCCACCCTTTGGCTCTGAGAATAGAGCTGCTTTGAACGTTTGTGGATTAGTTTCTGTGCGGATGTATGCTTTTATGCCCCTTGTGTCGGCGTGGGGCAGCTGGGTCCTGCGGTAACTGGAAGGTGAAGGAAAGAAGGAATGTGGGCCATCTCTGGATGATATGCAAAGAATCGTTTTACATAACGTGAAATTTTTATCCCATTTGATGGTGGAAAAGCATTTCTTAAGTTTCTTTCTCTGCTGCTTAAATAAAAATAGGCCGAAGAACTAAAAAGGGACTGACCATGTTTTCTGCAAAGCCAGGTGCTTGCACACACCCATTAGCTCTTATTTCTCTCCCCTGCTGACAAGTAAATAGCAGCTAACAGCTGAGCACAGTTTCACACTGAGTGCATGTTTGCGGATGACTCACCCAGAATTCACAGCCAAGGTGCCAGTTGTTCTTCCTGCATAGAAAGAAAACCTATTTTAGGCAAAACTGTAACCTCATGGATGCTCCGGAAAGTACTGAGTCGCAAGACAGATTTAATGTAGGTGTCCTGCCAGATATTTGCCCTGCCCGGACCCCGCCCTCTTCCCCGCCCACCCACGGCTCCGCCCAGACCCCGCCCATTGTCCGGCCCGCTCCGTCCAAGCCCGCCCTGGCCCGTCCATCCACCGCCCGCCTGGGCCCCGCCCTCTGTCCCGCCTCTGGGATTCGCCCTGTGCCCCGCCTCTTGCCCTCGCGGCGCGTGGGCGGTGGGGCCCTTCGCACGCGGCCTTCCGCGTCCTGGCGGGGCAGGCGCCTGTGCGCGTGGGTCCCCGACGCTGGGCGGTGGTGCTCCTGCGCGGGAAGGTTGACCGCAGCCCTCCGGGAAGGAGATGCGCGGGGTCTTCCGCGTCCCCTCCGCCCGCCTCCCAGGCCTGCCCCGCCGCCCTTTGCTGTCGGGGAGGGGCTGGGGTGGGAAGCTAGAGGCCCGGCGTCCTGGAGCCCCGAGAGCCGCCCTTCCCGGCCGCACCGCGCGCGCGCAGTCCCCGGCCCGGCCCGACCCCTGCCCGACCCGGAGGGGGGTCCCCGCGGCGCCGGACCCCCAGGGGCCCGCGGAGGGCTGCGTGGTGGGATCCCCGGGAATGGGGCCCCCCGCCCCCGCTCCGTCAGGACCGCGGGGCAGCCGGGAAGTGCGCGGCGGGACCCCCGCAGGACAGGCGCGGCCTCGAGGACCCGCGGTGCCCCAGAACCGACCCCCCTCCTGGGAAGGCTGCGCGGTGTCCCCGCCGGCGTGGCGCGGGTCCGTGCCCCCACCCGGAGAGTGTGTGGGAGAGTACTGTGAGCTGCGCTTTGCACTTTGAGGTTAGAGGGCGTCCGAGGTTTGGCGGAGGTGGGATTCTGACCCCGCCGTTTCCCACCTGGATGGCCTTGGGCAAGCGACCACCGTCCCTGGGCCTCGGTATCCCCGTTTCTCAGGCGAGTAGGGTTCCTTGTGAGGAGTCAGGAGTAGCGCACATCACTAGCGTTTGGGGAAGTGCTCGGTTGGGCCGTGAGCTGACGTCCCTGTGGAGCGCCAGGCACCCTTCACCCTCACACACACTGGGGTCCGGCAGGGCTTTGTCCCCTCGTTCATCAGTGCATCGTGGCTGCCACAGGGAGAGGGGAGGCACAAAGGCGCTGTGTCACAGGAGTGGGCCTGGGGCTTGCCCCCGAGGTGGGCCACTGGGTCGAGGTGCCCACGTGTGTGCACACGTGTGCAAACACAGGGCAGACCATGGGCAGAGGATCAGACAGGGTCCCCACAAGGAGGTCAACCTCAAAGAAGCTGGGGCCGTCCTCAGGAGGATGGCCTCAGGACGCAGGAGAACCAGCCCCCAGCGGAGGAAGAGGCTGGACAGAAGCAGAGACTGCTGAAAGGCAGGATTTCGACCCAAAGGCCACAGAGCATCCAGAAAGAGATGGGAAGTGCTGGGTTAGCAAACGCCATCTTCCAGTACAGAACCAACATGGAGCATTTTCTCATGGACAAACAAATACAGATGATTGGTCTCATCTAATACATAATTAATATTCTTATTTCTAATAACACAGATTTTTAAAGATCGGCTAGAACAACACATGATGAGATTTAGATCTTTATATTTCGTTCAGGAAGTCCTGAATCCTAGGTGACAGAAATCCTGGTCTCAAGAGACCATTTGTAACGGCAGGTTCAGAGTCTGTAAGATCTTATGTGGATGAAACACGGATGGAATAGTGACACTGGTATGACAAAAAGAATCTCATTCAAATGAAATCTGGAAAACAATTTATAAACCATCTCAGTGAGGTCAGGAGTTAAAGTGACATCATAAAACCCACTTCAGCACACCTGAGTTTATGGTAGTTCCGATGCAAAGGCGTGCTCCTGGCCCAGAGAAAGGACAGGGTTTAACCACCCTGTCCAGGACAGTGACAGGTGTCATGATTCGCACACCCACTGGCCTTCAGAGTATTTTAACTCTCCTCACTGTCCCCTGAAGTGTTAATTAGTTCACTTGCTGCCATTTGTAGGTTTTAATGTGCTTGTTTTTGCTTTTTACAATTGGGAAATGCAACGTACACGTGCAAAGTGTACAAACACACACACACTGTTTAATCAGTAGCCCTGAAGTGAACACTCAGGTTATAAGTCACCCCCTAGGTCAGGAAATGCAACACGTCCAGTGTGCCTGAAACCTCCCATGTGCCTCCCACCACTGCCTTGGGGGTGGGTACCCCCCCACCAAAGCCCACAAGGTGCAAATGATTTACATGGGTGTGACCCTGGGGAGCCCCAGTGGGTTGGGGAGAGACTCAGGTGCACCCCTTTGGGGGACTCTTGGCCTGCATTGGACCAGAAAGCTCTCAGAGCCCAAGGAACGGCAGCCTGGGAACCTCAGGCTGGCCTGCTGGGAGTCTGTGACAGCTGAGGTCACACCCTCTGGGCACTAAGATCGTCTGCTCCAGCCACCACACTGACTTCTGTGAAAGACCATGAAGTGGGACTCAACTGTGTCCACCCCTCTCCCCCATCCGGGGTGGAAGCCCGAATCTTCATGTGACCATATTTGGAGATAGGGCCCTTAGTTAGGCATATGGCCAGGTCCTAATCCCATAGACACCAGAGCGCCTTGGCATGTACACAGAAGGGAAGCCATGTGGGGACAAAGCAGGAAGGTCCGCAAGCCGAGGAGACTAGTCTCACCAGAAACCAATGCTGATGACAACTTGATCTTGGATTTATTTTCTTACGGATCTGGGGGCCAGAAAATGCTCCTTCTTGCATTTCAGCTTTACAAGCTGTGATCTTTTTTCTTTTGGCTGTAAACCCTCCTTTGGTTTTCCTTTGGGAGGTTCTGTTGGGAGAAAATTGCATCTCTAGAAATAAAAGCAAATGGTTCTTCAGTCTGAATAATGCCTTAAAAGTTCCAAGTGTTAAGCCCCACCGACTGTATGAACTTGCGAAATTGTGACCCTCTGGTTTTCATGCTGGTTCCCTGTGCCTGGGGTGGCTGGTGTGAGGGTCTGGCCCTCTCGCCTTTCGGAGCGCCTGCATCCCTCCCTGCCGAGGACAGTCCCTTAGTCTGTTTGGGTCCCTACTGAATCTCTGCCCTTCTTATTTTTTTCTATGTGGCCTCTACTCTACATTTAGGTGCAGAGAGTCTGTTCTGCCAGTGTTCAGGTCATTTTCAGTCTTCAGGTCATTTTCTGGGTTGTCTACACTGATGTGGGTGTTCTCTAGCTGTAACTGTGGGATGAGGTGAGCCTAAGGTCATCCTACTACACCATCTTCCTGAACAGCGTCTTTATTTCATTTTCATTCTTAAAAACTTATTTGCCCTGGGCAGTCATTTTCCTTTTCCTATTAACATATAATGTATTATTTGCTCCAGGGGTACAGGTCTCTGAATCGTCAAGCTTACACATTTCACAGCACTCACCATAGCGCATACCCTCCCCCATGTCCATAACCCAGCCACCCTATCCTCCCCTTCCCCCCAGGCAACCCTCAGTTTGTTTCATGAGATTAAGAGTCTCTTATGTTTTTTCTCCCTCCCGATCCCATCTTGTTTTATTTTTTCCCTCCCTTCCCCCCATGACCCCCCCACCCTGCCTCTTAAATTCCTCATATCAGGGAGATCATATGATAATTGTCTTTCTTTGATTGACTTATTTCGCTAAGCATAATACCCTCTAGTTCCATCCACGTCATTGCAAATGGAAGATTTCATTTCTTTTGATGGCTGCATAGTATTCCATTGTATATATACCACATCTTCTTTATCCATTCATCTGTTGATGGACATTTAGGTTCTTTCCATAGTTTGGCTATCGTGGACTTTGCTGCTATAAACATTTGGGTGCACGTGCCCCTTCGGATCACTACATTTGTATCTTTAGGGTAAATACCCAGTAGTGCGATTGCTGGGTCATAGGGTAGCTCTGTTTTCAACTTTTAAAGGAAACTCCATGCTGTTTTCCAGAATGGCTGCACCAGCTTGCATTCCCACCACCAGTGTAAGAGGGCTCCCCTTTCTCTGCATCCTCGCCAACACTTGTCGTTTCCTGACTTGTTAATTTTAGCCATTCTGACTGGTGTGAGGTGGGATCTCATCGTGGTTTTGATTTGTATTTCCTGATGCTGAGTGATGTGGAGCACTTTTTCATGTGTCTGTTGGCCATCTGGGTGTTTTCTTTGCAAAAATGTCTGTTCATGTCCTCTGCCCATTTCTTGGTTGGATTATTTGTTCTTTGGGTATTGAGTTTGTTAAGTTTTTTTTTTTTTAAAGATTTTATTTATTTATTTGACAGAGAGAGATCACAAGTAGACGGAGAGGCAGGCAGAGAGAGAGAGAGAGAGAGGGAAGCAGGCTCCCTGCTGAGCAGAGAGCCCGATGCGGGACTCGATCCCAGGAACCTGAGATCATGACCTGAGCCGAAGGCAGCGGCCTAACCCACTGAGCCACCCAGGCGCCCGAGTTTGTTAAGTTTTTTATAGATTTTGGATACTAGCCCTTTATCTGATAAGTCATTTGCAAATATCTTCTCCCATTCTGTCAGCCGTGTTTTGGTTTTGTTAATGGTTTCCTTTGCTGTGCAAAAGCTTTTGATCTTGATGAAGTCCCAATAGTTCATTTTTGCCCTTGCTTCCCTTGCCTTTGGCTATGTTCCTAGGAAGAAGTTGCTGCGGCTGAGGTCAAAGAGGTTGCTGCCTGTGCTGCCTGTGTTCTCCTCAAGGATTTTGATGGACTCCTATCTCATCCATTTTGAGTCTATTTTCATGTGTGGTGTAAGGAAATGGTCCAGTTTCATTTTTCTGCATGTGGCTGTCCAATTTTCCCAACACCATTTGTTGAAGAGACTTTTTTCCATTGGACATTCTTTCCTGCTTTGTGGAAGAGTAGTTGACCCTAGAGTTGAGGGTCTGTTTCTGGGCTCTCTATTCTGTTCCATTGATCTATGTGTCTGTTTTTGAGCCAGTACCATACTGTCTTGATGATGACAGCTTTGTAACAGAGCTTGAAGTCTGGAATTGTGATGCCACCAACTTTGGCTTTCTTTTTCATCATTCCTCTGGCTATTTGGAGTCTTTTCTGGTTCCATATAAATTTTAGGATTATTTTTTCCATTTCTTTGACAAAGTTGATGGGATTTTTTAAAAAATATTTTATTTATTTATTTATCAGAGATCGAGCGAGAGAGAGAGGGCACAAGCAGGTAGAGGGGCAGGCAGAGGCAGAGAGAGAAGCAGCCTCCCCATCAAGCAAGGAGCTGGATTCAGGACTCGATCCCAGGACCCTGGGATCATGACCTGAGCTGAAGGCAGCGGCTTAACGGACTGAGCCAACCAGGCGTCCCAGTTGATGGGATTTTGATAGGGATTGCATTAAATGTGTAAATTGCTTTAGGTAGCATTGGCATTTTCACAATATTTGTTCTTCCAACCCATAAGCATGGAATGTTTTTCCATTTCTTTGTGTCTTCCTCAATTTCTTTCATGAGTACTTTATAGTTTTCTGAGTACAGACTCTTTGCGTCTTTGGTTAGGTTTATTCCTAGGTATCTTATAGGTTACTTTCTCTTTCTTAATTTCTCTTTTTTTCTTTTTTTGAAAAGATTTTTATTTATTTGACACACAGAGAGAGAAATCACAAGTAGGCAGAGAGGCAGAGAGAGAGAGAGGAGGAAGCAGGCTCCCTGCTGAGCAGACAGCCCAATGCCGGGCTCGATCCCAGGACCCTGAGATCATGACCTGAGCTGAAGGCAGAGGCTCAACCCACTGAGCCACCCAGACACCCCTTAATTTCTCTTTTTTCTGTCTTGCTGTTGGCGTATAGAAATGCAACTGATTTGTGTGCATTGATTTTACATCCTGACACTTTACTGAATTCCTGTATGAGATCTGCTTTGGAGTGGAGTCTTTTGGGTTTTCCACATAAAGCATCATATCATCAGGCAGTCACAGTCTTTTGGTGACAATCATTCCACTATTTTTTGGCTCTCAGTATTGGGGTTGGGAAACCAGATGTTAATCCTTTCAAAGCAAACTGACTTTCCTTGCTGGCTACATTAGAGATTTCCAGTGCCTTTTGTGATCTGCAATTTCACTGTTACTTGGCTATGTGTGAAATTTTAGTGTATATAGCTTAAAATTTGGGGAGAACTTGGATCTGAGGGTTCTAGAAAGTTCTCATCCATTTTCTGTTCAATCATAGCCTCTTCCTTTTCCCTTTTCTGGAACTCCAGCTAAATGTCTACTATTTTCCGTGTGTCTTACCTTGCCTGTAATTTCCCTGTTTGTCTCCTTGTGCCACATTCTTGACATCTATTTTTTTTTAATTTTTAAAATATTTATCTGAGATAGAGCAAAGCACAGAGGGAAATACAGGCTCCCTGCTCACGAGGGAGCCAGGTGTGGCGCTGGAACTCAGGACAGCAGGGTCATGACCTGAGCCAAAGATAGGCGCTTAACCGACTGAGCCACCCAAGTACCCCTCTTTATGATTGATCTCTTCCAGTTTGCTAATTCTCTTATTAAGCTGTTAAATCGGCTCAGTAGCTCTACATTTTAATTTTAATGTAAGAGTAATTAATTTTTGTTTTGAATTTATAAAATCTCCTTTGGTTCTTTACAGAGACTGCTTAACCTTTTATAGACAGCTGTGAAAATCAATCAAGGAACGTCTCACCAAAATGGTGTCAGGAGGCCGGTAGGGGGCGCGCTGTGGCCAGCCCTGATTATCGATTACAGACCCAACAGGAACAGAGGCACATCGCAGGTGGGTACCACTTCACGAAGCCAGCTCCTGGACCGAAGGTTTCCCGCTGCCCCGGCAACAGCCCAGCCAATGAGAGAAGGGCACAGCCCAGCCAATGGAGACGGCCACAGCCCAGCCAATGGGAGACGCGCTCAGTCCGCGGCTCCCGCTCTGTGCTTCCGGGTTGGCGCGGGAGGCAGGCGCGGGAGGCAGCCGCGCGGACGTGAACCGCGGACACACGGGAGTGGGCGGTCACTGCGTCCGTGCGGCGGCTGAGTTGGCGCGTCCCGCCGGTGAGCGAAGGGCGGGCGAGCGGCCAACAGCCGCGGCCACGAGGCCCGGCCCCGCGGACGAGCACCCTCGGGCGTCGCAGCTGCGGCCCAGCGCACGGAGATGCCGGGCCCCGGGCGTTCGCGCCGCGTCCGTCCCGTCGTCGCTGCCGGCCGGCCCGTCTGCGGGAGCTGGCGACCCCCGGCTGCGCGCACGGCCCCCGAGAGGGAGCCCCTCCCTGCTGTGCGGGCCGCCGGGCCGCCTGTCCCGGGCGCGGGCCGCTGCTGCTCCCGGCGTCCGTCTCTGTCCGCCAGGCCGCCGGCCGCTTGGGGCTAACGGGGCCCACCCGCGAGCTCCGCCGCGCTTTCCCCGGAGCGCTCCGTCGGGCCGCGGAGCCGGGTGCCAGAGGTCGTCACGTGGAAAGAGCGAACTAGAGAAGCCGCAGCTGGTGCGGACGGCGGTTCCCGGGAGCAGCTCTCCCGTCCTGTCTCCGGGTGAGTCCCAGAACCCACCGCCCCTCACCCAATCGCAGGGTGTCCTGGCGGCCCGGGCTCGCCCCTCAGCGCCTCACCCAATCCCAGGGTGTCCTTGCGGCCCGGTCCCGCCCCTCAGCGCCCCACCCAATCCCCTTGTGCTCCCGTGATCAGGTTCCGCCCCTCTCAAACCTCACCCAGTCACCGTGCGTCCCCGCTGCCGGCCTTTCCCTGGCCGGAAGCAGTCCGCGGACGTTCCTGGGGGGACATGGAGGCGCTGCTGAAGCGGGAGCTGGGCTGCGACTTCGTCAAGGCTACGGGTCACTCGGGGGGCGGGTGCATTAGCCAGGGCCAGAGTTACGACACGGACAAAGGACGCGTGTTTGTGAAAGTGAACTCCAAGGCGGAGGTCGGGGCCGCCGCGGGCCGGGTCAGGGTGGGCGGGTGGGCGGGTGGGGGGCCGTCGGCGAGTGGCGTCTGGGTGGGGCTCCGGGCCCGGGTCTGGGGTCGGAGGTCGGGGTTCGGGCTCTGGGGTGGGCGCGGGAGTGCTCAAGGCCCAGGCGGGGTCTGCACGGCAGGGCCGCGGGGCGGTGGCGCTTGCTGCCCCCGAGCCGTTGGGCGGTGTCCGCGGTTCCCGGGGTCGCGCCCCCAGCTGAGCCTTGGAAGCCCCTGGGAGGGTAGCGCGCCCCGTGGGTGGCCGTCTCGGGACCCCTGCGCCGCGCTGCCGCGGGGACGGCGGTTCTGGGGCGGCCGGGGGTGTGGCCGCCGCGGGTCTGAGCGGGCCCGGCAGTGGCAGCGTCTTGTCCCGGGGTTTACTTGGACGGGCGGCTACCGGGATGTCTTGTGTTGTTGGAAATCCTCGGGCCGCTGCCTCTGGGAGTTTGGGCCGCGGGACCACGGACCCGGCAGTGCCGGCGTCTCCGCTCTGGCAGCGGGTGTCCGCTGAGAGCCCACCGCCACGCTGCGAGGGGGGCTTCTCCCTGTTCTCAGTGTCGGGGGCGAGGGAGCGCCCTGGGGTCTCTGTGTCAGAGCACCAACCCTGGGAGCCCAGCCACCTCCAGGGCGCTCACTCCAGGTCTCACTGGGACTTAGGTTTTGACAGAGGAACTGGGCAGGGGGCACCGGCTTTGGCCCACTGTAGCCCCTCACTCCAGAAAGTTCTGTCTGTACATGAACCTTCTCACAGGGGCCCCCGAGAGGACAGGGGAGCCTCAGTGCTGAAGCCGTACCCCCCCCCCCCCCCCGTGCGGCTGTCACTTCTGTGCCCGTTTGCGTGGGTCACGCCGGTCCTGTTAGCGGGAAAGCCCGGGCTGGCTCCAGGAGGCAGTGGGCAGCTGGGCAGTGGGTTGTTTCAGATGGGGCGGGAGGGGCTGGCCCCAGTACCCCGTCCTCAGGTCACACCCGTGCTGCGCCTTCATTCTGCCCCTGGAGAGCATTCTCGCCATGGTTTCCACTTTCTTCCCAGATGTGACGCCCGCTGTCCGCGAGAGCCGGTGAGCTCTTTCTGAGCCGACCCCCCTCCACGCTCCGCTCTGCGGGGACGAGCTGCCGCACAGCCTGTGCACAGCCTTCTTGCAGGCGTGCGTCCGCATTGGTGCTTGGAGTCACCTCAGCAGCCCTCGCGGCTCATGCTGCCCCTTCCCACGTTCTCTGTGGGGCTTCTCTGCTTTCTGGCTTTGTTGTCCCACATAGGTGGCATCTGGCCCCTTCCTGTGTGTATTTCCACCTTCAGAGTCATCTCTGCACCCAGCGTGAGATCAAGAGCCACCCATTCCACCGATGGTGGTGGCCAGGTGCCCCAAAGTCCACGCTCTTCTTGCTGACCTTTCTCCCCGGAGTTCCTTCTGGTCCTTTGGCAGGTGGTTCTGCACGCGCACTTTTCTGGCTTTGTGTGGACGGACACTGCTGTGAGTGGTGGTGCCGTGGCAGAAGCATCTGCTGGCCACATGAAAACAGGACTTCCTTCTGTGCCTTCCCTTGTAGGGCATGGAGATAGCTCCCACCCTGCTGCGAGAAGACTAGTGATTGCGCCTGTCTTTTCCCTCACAACCCCGTGAACTGACCTGCTCGAAGCAAGATTATTCTTATCTGTCTCGGTGCCTGCGGTTGGGTCCCTCCTGCTCCTCCCTTAAGCTCCAGAGCTTTTTTGGAGCACTGTGGCCCCCCCGCCCCCCGCCTACTTCCCTCCCTCTCCTCTCGGGGACCTACAGACACTTGTGTGAGGGAGGCTTCACCTCTGGCTGCATTCACAGATCCTCTCCACCTGTCCCCGATGGTTACCGATCTTATTCTCCCCTTACTCGGCTTTTCCAGACCAGTGCTCTGGTACAAAGCAGCCAGTGCCGTTAGCTGTCCGCGGTGGTGGGATGACGATGATGTGTTTACAGAGTGTTCAGAAGGGGCTGCGCCAGTGTTAGCAGCCAGCTCAGTCGCTCAGGGCCACGAGCCTGGGAACTTGGTCCCCGGTATTAACCCACTTTACGGGGGAGGGAGCAGGCGTGGGGAATGTGAGCAGCTCCGCCGAGGTCATAGACCGGTCCTGAGAGTATGGAGAGGAACGTTCCTGGCAACACTTCCTCTTAGCGTCACGAAGCTTCCCGGCTGCTGGTCGGTGCCCTGGGCCCTCCCGTTCTGGGGAGCTGTGCGCGGCGGTGAGAGTAAACTCTGTCAGTGCACCGGCAGAACAAAGGCAGCGGGACAAAGCAGCCAGACTGCTTGCTCTGCATGTAGAAGGACAAAGCAGACGTGACCCATCCGTGGTGATGGGGATGCGAGGGGCTGGGGAGCAGAGGGGCCTCCGGGCGACAGCGTCCTGACTGTGTGTGGGGGCAGTCCTGCAGTGCGCAGCCTTGGTGAACGCTGGAGTCACGTGCTCCCATTGGTGCCTTTTTCTTCTCATACTTCTGTAGCATCTTGACGGGGAAAAAAAAAAGCTACTCTAAAGGGAGTAGTTACTTAGTCTGGGAAGTGAGAGAAGGTTTTTCTGAGAAGGTAGAAGATATTAAGTTGAAATCTGAAGCATGATGAGGAAGGGTCTACCTTGTCAAAAGATGGGGGTGGGGCTGCGAGCAGAGGCACATGGCCGCTTTGAGCTGTGGGGAACTAGAAGAAGACCATAGTCCAGGGGCACGGGGGTGTCTATGCGTGTGCTGGTGTGTGCACATGTGGGCATGGAGGTGTAGGAAGGAGCCCAGGGAAGCACAGGGAGCAGGCAGGGCCAGACCCCGTGGGGCTCACACAGGTTGCTAGCTCAGGCGTGTTCCAGGCAGGGATTTGCCGTCAGTAACGGTCCCTGCCAGGGTGAGCAAGGAGGTGAGGGGAAGGACAATTGCTGCCGTCTGGGGGAGACTGGGAATGGTGGTTAAGATGGGATGGTTTCCAGTGTGAGGTCAGAGGTGCCCTCGAACCTGGTGAGAGGTGACCTCAGGTGTGTAGCATGTGCAGGTGGAGGGCCAGGTGGCACAGGACTGTGGCCAGGGTACCGTCAGATGATGGCCCACATGCATAGTCCAGCTCTGCACCAGATGTTCGGTGGAATTTTAGAGGCCTTCCCCTTCCCTCTCTGGAGAGACTCAGTGAGAGTGTAGAAGAGGGTCCAGAACATGACAGTGCGACCCTACTTCCTCCTGGGCCGGTTCAGTGCGCAGCCTGCTCTGTTGGAAAGCCCAAGAATCTGCGTCTGTCGGGTCTGCAGTCAGGTGGCCTCTGCTTCAGATTGTGACGCTTGAGGGAACGCGTCCACGTAACCCCTTTCCAGAAGTCATCTTGCTCTCCCTTCTCTCCCCCTCCTCCATTATTTTTCGGAAAGGCCAAAAGAATGTTTGAAGGTGAGATGGCAAGTTTAACTGCCATCCTGAGAACGGACACCGTGAGAGTGCCCAAGCCCATCAAGGTCCTGGACGGCCCGGGAGGCAGCAGCCTGCTGGTGATGGAGCACGTGGACATGCGGTACCTGAGCAGGTCTGTCTGGGCACCGCCCCCCCAACTTGTCTTTGGTTCTCTCTTTTTTTTTTTAATACAGATTTTATTTATTTATTTGACACACTGAGATCACAAGTAGGCAGAGAGGCAGGCAGAGAGAGAGGGGGAAGCAGGCTTCCTGCTGAGCAGGGAGCCCAGTGCGGGGCTCAATCCCAGGACCCTGAGACGATGACCAGAGCCAAAGGCAGAGGATTAACCCACCGAACCACTGTCTCTCTTTTTTTTTTTTTAGCATTTTTTGAGTCTTGAGATTTTTTTTTTTTTAAGATTTTATGTACTGGGGCACCTGGGTGGCTCAGTGGGTTACAGCCTCTGCCTTCGGCTCAGGTCATGATCTCAGGGTCCTGGGATTGAGCCCCGCATTGGGCTCCCTGCTCAGCGGGGAGCTGCTTCCTCTTCTCTCTCTGCCTGTTTCTCTGCCTACTTGTGATCTCCATCTGTCAAATAAATAAAAATAATAATAATATTTAAAAAAAAAAAAAGATGTACTTATTTCAGCAAGAGAGAAAGAGAGAACACAGCGGGGAGGGCAGAGGGAGAGGGAGATGCAGACTACCCTCCCCACCGAGCAGGGAGCCGGGTGTGGGGCTCGATCCCAGGACTCTGGGACCATGACCTGAGCTGAAGGCAGAGGCTTCATGGACTAAACCCCCAGGCGCCGCATGGCTCTGTTTCATTTCTGAGTCTGAGCCCCTTCATACCTGAAAGCTCACATCGGGGTATCACTTTGAGGGACCTGTGACCCCACGCATCACGGGCTGTGGACCTAACCTGAACCCTAACCCTCGGCTGTGCACGCTGAGGGCAGATGGGAAAGGAATCTCCTAAGAGGAGATGTGGACAAGGGACCCAGCTGCCCGGGAAAGGCTGGGAAAGAGCACCAGACAACCGGGGCCCTTCATTCCCCTTTCAGTCACTGAAGCCAACTTTACGTCCCCTTGGCTTGCTTTCCGTGGCCTGAGACTGTGCACGAGGCCGTGACCCCACAATGATGTGCCCCATGCTTGACTGATGCTCTCCCTTTCACAGCCATGCTGCCAAGCTCGGAACCCAGCTCGCAGACCTACACCTAGACAACAAGAGGCGTGGGGAGACCCTCCAGAAGGAGGCTAGCACCGTGGGTATGCAGCTGTGCGGGCGTGAGGGCCCCTCGAACACACTTGGCTGGCGTGGGCATGTGGGTGGGTCTGTGTTGATGCTTGAGGAGAGGAGTGTCACCCCGAAAGCTAGGGACACAGTGGACAGAGGGAACGCGATTCTGTACCGTGACGTAGCGTGTTTAGAAGAAGAAGTTTTCCCCTGTCCTGTTACGGTTCCTTTACCCCTCCTGCCCCAGAGGAAAGCCTGTCAGAGCTGCAGTGGCTTTCTGTGCTGTGCCTCCTCTCCTGAGAACGGCCGCAGTCGGGGCACAGTGAGGCACAGCCCGGTGGCCCTCACGTCCACCCTTTGTAGAGCTTAGTGCTTCCAGTGTTCTCGTCTTCTGATGTTTGGTAATCTGCGTGCAGCCCTGGGGTCACTGTGCGAGCGGAACAGCTGACACACCAGGGGCGGACGGCCAAGGCTGCTGTGTCACATGGGTCCTGTCCGCTGCACCCTGCCGCCACCAGGCCCACGTTGTCCAGGCCTTCGGGGTTTTTGCCTAGTTTGGGGGAGCCGCAGGGGACACCAAGGAGGCCGTTTCAGATCAGCTTATTCTTCACAGATGGCCAGGGCAAGGCTGGCCACCGGGAGCCATCCTTTCCCAACAGGTCACAGGGTGAGCTGCTCTCCTCCTTCCTCGGATGCAGCGTTGTCGCTCCTCTGAGCGGCCTCTGGCGTCTCTCCCGGGCAGTGTGGGTGTCCTGCATCTCTGAGTCCGAGCAGAGCAGGCTGTTCCCGAGCCCCGAGGTTTTGTGGAGACGGGGGCCCTCGTTTGTCTCTGGATGAGGACACGAGGGGAAGGGCTCAGCAAGACAGGCCTCAATGCTGTCCTGAGCTCCAAAAGCAGCCGGAGGAAGTGTGGGAGCCAGTTGTCTCTCTTGTCTTTCTTCTGCTTACAAGGGAAAGGAGCCGGGCAGGTGGTACGGCCCTTCGTGGACCAGTTTGGGTTTGACGTGGTGACATGCTGTGGATACCTCCCCCAGGTGAGTGACACCAGCACTTGGCCTTCTGCGTTCACATCAGGTCAGGTCGCCCGCCCAGGGAAGGAACCCACCTCCCCCTTTATGAAATTTTAGTAAAAGTCTTCGCTCCCTTTTTCTCTTGGCTGATTTTGAAGAGGTTGATATGAGGTTTACCTGCCTCACCCGCTAGGTAAGCTCAGATAAACAGGACCAACAAGTCAGGGTGCTGAGTCTCGAGGTGTGGAAACATTAGACTTCGGGGCAGTTTTCTTCCTCCTAGATCCTCAAAGATAGCATGATGTAAGTGGACTGCACCTTTCAGTTTTATGACCCTGTGGTTGGCTCCCTGGGAATTTGGGCCGCGGGGCTCAACCCAGTGCCCAGCAGATGTTCTACGGGGAGGGTGGGAGCTCTGCTCCCGGACAGTGCAGGTGGCTTCTCGGAAGAGGAAACTTTCAGGGATTCTTGGTAGGCACCGGGGCACAGGAGACACTATTCAGGTTTTGGAATGTGGGGAGGGGTTGTCCAGGAAGCTGCTCTGGGTGGCAAGTGCCTGAAGGCTGGTGTTCCCTTGTCCCACCTGCTCCGTGGAACTCTGGGGCCGTTCTGCTGGCTCTGCCCCCTCCTCGCCGGCTTGTGGCTCGCCCAGTGTGCGTACAGACACCTAGGCCTGCACGCACACGCCTGGGGGAGGGGTTCTGTGTTGTCAGGTGGTGGTTGCTGCCCTTGATGGTGTCCTTGAACCGGGCCTCATGCGACCCCTCCTGCCCTCGCTCTGGGGAGGGCAGTGCTGGCTGCCTGAGTGGGGGCCCCAGAGGGGTCCTTGTGGCCGGTGGATGGTCAGAAACAAGCTCCAGGTAGGCGCAGGCCAGCTCTGGGTGTGCTCCTGCGTGAGTGCAGGTGGACAGAATGTGCCCTAGAGCTCTTCAGAGTGGCCTGTGTTGCTCCGCATGGGAGGGTCCCCTGCTTCTGCCACAGGGTGTGAGGTCCCCTTCTGTCCACGAGACACTGTCTGCCTGGTCAGCCACCACGCCTTCCGCAGCCTGCCCGTAAAGCAGTGCCCTGCTGCTTTGGGCTTCTTCCTTGGGCTCTGCCACTGTCCTCTGTCTACGCAGGTGAACGACTGGCAGGAGGACTGGGTCACCTTCTACGCCCGGCAGCGCATTCAGCCCCAGATGGACATGGTGGAGCAGGGGTCTGGGGACAGAGAGGCCCGGGAGCTCTGGTCTGCTCTGCAGGTGAGTGCAGCCAGGGCCCGACGGGGGAGGCCCCGAGGCAGGTGTGGCCACTGGGGGGTCCAGGCTCCGACAGGAGATGGGCTGGGCCGGCCAGAGGGGTGGCTGTCGGTGTCCCTCCACCCCGTCCGAGCCGTGTGTGTCCCTGCGCATCTGTGCGCCACACTCTGCTGGGGCAGTTGGGCCACACAGGAAAGCGTCTGTGTCCCTCCCACGTGTGCTGGTTACTTGGCTGAGAACGGGTTTCCTTCCTGCAGCTAAAGATCCCCGACCTGTTTCGCGACCTGGACATCGTCCCAGCCCTGTTGCATGGAGACCTCTGGGGAGGAAACGTAGCCGAGGACTCCTCTGGGCCCATCATCTTTGACCCGGCCTCTTTCTACGGCCATTCGGAGTACGAGCTGGCGATAGCCGGCATGTTTGGGGGTTTCAGCCACTCCTTCTACTCTGCCTACCACCGCGCAGTCCCCAAGGCCCCGGGGTTTGAGGCCCGCCAGCAGCTCTACCAGCTCTTCCACTACTTGAACCACTGGAATCATTTCGGGTCGGGGTATAGAGGGTCTTCGCTGAACATCATGAGGAATCTCACCCAGTGAGCGTCCCTGCTCTGGACGGGCGCCAGGTCCCAGCCAGACGCCTGCGGCCAGCGCCTGCTGCTGCCCCCAGTCCTGTCCGGCAGGGCTGCTTCCCCGACTTCACACGAACCTTTTGCTCCACAGCTGGGTAAACCACGCTGGGGTGGGTGTGGGCCCCATCGCGCGGGCCCCGTGGAAACGCTGTTGCCCGGAGGCTGAGCCGGAATGGCCAGCTGCTGCTGGGCGCGTGTTCCCGGCAGTCCCTCATCTCCTCTCCAGAGCGACTCTCACTCTGACGTGGGGAAGATGCCTCCCGGCGGGTGAGACGTGAGAGTAGACCTGAAACCAGCACCGCCCTCGGCTTCTTGCTGCCGGGGTCACTGAGCACATTCCCTTCTTTTCCGGCCGCTCTGTGCCTGCCACAGGCCGAGCAGTCTGGAAGCTGGTTCTGGGAGTGACCAAACTGCGGGTCCTGGGTAAGTTTAGGAGCCACTGAGTCCCTCCTGTCAGCACCCCATCTCGCCTGCCCTTGGAAAGCTCGTGAGCTACTCCTTTGTGTAAAAGCTCTACCCCGCGGCTCCCGCTACACGCGGACTGTTCTGAGTGGCATTGATGCTAAGAAAGCCTTTTGCATAAACATTTGAATAAACTCACTGATGTCAGTCATGCACGGGATTGTGTATTTCCTTCATTTGCAATGTAACTCAATGTTTATCTTAGGTGTTTGCCAAGAGACCTTTGTAATGCCTTGTGACAAACAGAACCCTTGTTTCTTTCTTTCTTTTTTTTTAAAGATTTATTTTATTTATTTATTTGACAGACAGAGACCACAAGTTGGTGAGAGGCAGGCAGAGAGAGAGGGGGAAGCAGGCTCCCCGTAGAGCAGAGAGCCCGATGCGGGGCTCGATCCCAGGACCCTGGGATCATGACCCGAGCTGAAGGCAGCGGCTTAATCCACTGAGCCACCCAGGCGCCCCAGAACCCTTGTTTCTTAAGAGCAGTTTCTTTCTCGACTGTTCACTAAGAGAATAGCGTGGAGTTTCCCCCATACGGACAGTGTAGCCTGAGGACTGCTTTTCCTGTCTGACCAGGTGAGGTGCGTGGGCCGCTCGGGGAGGCCTGGTCACCAGTGGGCTGTAGAGAGAGGTCCCCAGAGGCCCCTCCTGGGAGCTGTGCCATCAGTGAGGGTGTGGCCAGGCCCCAGGCAGGAGGTGGTATCACAGCCGTGCACCCCTGTCTCCTGGCTTTGGGGGTGGTGCAGGACTTGCCAGCTTTTTAAACTCGGCTGCTTGTACGATAGCTCATTCTAAAATACCAACTTTTGGGGGTGCCTCAGTGTCTCAGTTGGTTAAGCGACTTCCTTCGGCTGCGGTCATGGTCCTAGGGTCCAGTCCTGCATCGGGCTCCCTGCTCAGCAGGGGGTTTGCTGCTCCTGCCTGCCTCTCCTCCCGTCACGTGCATGCTCTCAGGCCCTCTCTCAAATAAATAAATCTTAAAAGTTTAAAAAAATAAAATACCAACTTTTATACCTAATTTTGCACCCATAATTTTTTATATGTGTATATATTTTTATATAAAGAGTTGTTATGGGGCACCTGGGGGGCTCAGGTGGTGAAGTGTGGGCCTTTGGCTCAGGTCATGATCCCAGGGTCCTGGGATTGAGTCCCACATCAGGCTTCCTGCTCAGTGGGGAGCTTGCTTCTCCCTCTGCCCCTCCCCCTGCTTGTGTTCCCTCTCAGTCAAATAAATAAAATCTTAAAAAAGTTGTGGGCGCCTGCATGGCTCAGTGGGTTAAACCACTACCTTCGGCTCAGGTCATGACCTCAGGGTCCTGGGATCGAGCCCCGCATCGGGCTCTCTGCTCATCGAGGAGCCTGCTTCCTCCCCTCTCTCTCTCTCTGCTTGCCTCTCTGCCTGCTTGTGATCTCTGTCTGTCAAATAAATAAATAAAATCTTAAAAAAGAAAAAGTCAAAATTGTATAAGCTGCAGACCCAGAAGCCCGGAACCTATCCCAAGCTGCTGGTGGGTTGCTGTGTTCCATGAGAGCCCCTCTCAGCACATGTCATCCCAGCACAGAGACTGCATTGTTCCCTGGGGGTCTGGGCTGACTTGGGGGCAGAGGGGATGAGGTTCTGACTGAAGGCCGCACTTCCAAGGGCAGCTGTGGGATGGGGTCCCGGCAGCGGCCTGCCTCCTGTCCTCGCCAGGGCAGCCTGCTGGCCTCTGGAATATCAGGGAGATTTGGCTAGACATAGGATGAACTTCAGATTCAGGTCCTTAACCCCTTGGCAGCAAGACATTTGAGCCCTTCAGGGCAGCCGTGAGCACCCCAAGGGCTGCCAGAGGCAGGGGTGAGGTGTGTCTCTGGGGCCATTGTACTTCTTACTGAAATGGGAATGTTGTATCCAAACACATCATGGTCTGCCCCTGCCAGAGTACCACCGTTTCCACAGAAGGAAGTCCTCAGATAACTGAACTTGACCTTCCCACCTCAAAGCTGCTGCTGCTTTTCTTTTTCTTTTTTAATAGTTTTTTTTTAAAGATTTTATTTATTTATTTGACAGAGATCACAAGTAGGCAGAGAGGCAGGCAGAGATGGGGGGGAAGCAGGCTCCCCGCGGAGCAGAGAGCCCGATGCAGGGCTTGAACCCAGGACCCTGAGATCATGACCTGAGCCAAAGGCAGAGGCTTTAACCCACTGAGCCACTCAGGCGCCCCCCCACCCCACCCCAAAGCTTCTGAGTGTCCTTTTGATGAGAATGGCCCTGAAACTTTGATGTCTCTGTCTGAAACAGGACGTCAGTTCTGTGCCCTCGATGTGGTCTTTGGCTGTGTGTTCTGTGTCTAGGGGCCTCCGCCGGTGGTGCCCTCCCAGTTTTTGCCCTGTATGGGATCATGAGTTCCGTTTATCATTACCACAGTAATGGTAGGCACAGGACCAGCACAGGAGGCTCTTAGGTTAGCCACTCGAGCTTTGGATCCCTCTTTCATAAAGGGGGCTGATAATGACACCCAGGCGCTGTCCCAGTGCCTGCCTGTGGGTGCTGCTCCTGGCTCCCCACTTGCGGGGGACACTTCCTCGTCCTTCCAGTGGAATGTGCTTCCAAGGCCATCTTGCATCAGATAGCCTGTCTAGTGCGTGGGTTTCCTCTTGCACAGAAGAATTGCTCACACTGGAATATGTGCAGAAACAGCACAGAGATGAAGGCCTCTGGGTTCTGAAGAGGTGGCAGAATTCCCCTCCCTTTCTCAGAGCAATCATCTGCCTCATCCCATGGCCCCCAGCACAATTCCTGGTGGAGGCCAGAGCGATGGACTAGAAGGGACACCTGGGCAGTGTCTCTGCTGGCTCAGGCTGCAGCCAGGGCCTTAGGACTCCAACCCCCCCACCACCCTGCTGCCTTCCTGGCGTCCTTTTTCTGAGCAGCTTTGCAAAAGCCCTACCCGGCCATGGGCTGTTTTCCTTCTTGGTGTCACTGGACTCTGTGTCACGGTAAGGGTTCTGAATAGGCAGGGGAGTCCAGTGTATGTGCATGACCCCATCATTATCTCAGTCCTCCTGCCTCAGAAAGGGGACTCAGTTCATTGGATGTCCCTGATCACATCTCCCAACTGAACTTCTAACCAGCTGGTGACCAAAACTCACATGTACCTTTGAGAGGAGAGTGGGGCCAATTTGCAAAGTTACAGTGCTCTCTTTGGCATGTGTCTTCACGTGGAGGATTTGGCTGCTCAGATAGGAGCTGGGAGGTCTGGGAAGGGACCCCAAGTGCCTGGGCGTCAGCACCAGTAAGATGCTGTGCCCCTGTCTGGCTGCCACCTGCCACATTCAGACCCTGCTTGGGCAAAACCATGCCCAAGGCTCAGTGAAGACCAGCATCTCCCCCATGGTGCCTGCAGGCTCATGGGTGCCTAACTCTGGCAGCTTTGGGACCCACTTTAGAACCAATATTTGTAATTCTGAAAAAGAGAACAGAGAAGACAGGGAGGAAACCATAAAGAGCTGAAGACAACCTCAGAAGGTAGAAGGACCAAGTTTCTGTCCTGAAACCGCTCACCTGAACTGCCTTGGGGATGGCAGGAAACTTACCCCAGCCACCTCTTGGGGAAATTGTCAGATCCTGGGGACACAGGGAGGACCCTAAAAGCCTCCAGAGAGAGAACAGTTTCCACACAAAGAGGAAGAATCAAAGTGGCCTCAAACTTCTCGATACCAAATGAGCCGGAAAGTAATGGAGCAGGACCTCATTTCCAACCTGGAATTCTATACCCAGCCAAAATCTCAATCGAGAATAAAGACATTTGCAGAAGGGCAAGAGCTCACATCTCTCCATTAGGAACCCTTCCTCAAGATGCAATAAGAAGGTGGGCTTCACCAGGCTGGGAGAAAAAGTGTAGGAGGAGGAAGACATGCAGAGGTAGATGCCTTTTCCACAGATGGACACATAATCTCTCCCATCCCACCTGCGGTTCTGCAATGACCTTGTGCATGTGTGTGCATGCACATGGGCATGTATATTTTTTTAAAGATTTTATTTATTTATTTACTTGACAGAGAGAGCGAGAGAGCACAAGCAGGGGGAGTGGCAGGCAGAGGGAGAGGGGGGAGCAGGCTCCCTGCTGAGCAGGGAGCAAGGCAGGCAGCCCCTATCTCAAGACTCTGGGACCCTTACCTGAGCTGCAGGCAGAGGCTTCACCAACTGAGTCCCCCAGGCGCCTGGGGCATGTGTGTTTTGAGGCTCCTTTTGAGGGCAGCAGGTCTCTTACCAGGGGTTCCGTACTTGGTAGGGTGGGCCACTTGGTATCAGAGTCCCCGGAGCACCCTCGACCTGTGATGTCCACCAAGTGCCCGGATGAACAAGCCCAGCACCGGCGACGGGTTCACTGGACAGAGTCTGGGCCAGGGGATGTGGTCAGGACCCCCAGCCGTGTCCCGACAGTGCGAGATCTAGCTGGGCCTGTGACCCGTGTCCCAGGGATAGCGGACCCTACCCTGAACTGTGCCCTGCGTCCCGCTGGGGCTGGGCCGACGTCCAGCAATGGTTCGTGCAGCCTCTGGCGGGAGGTGCTGGCAGGGCGCCCCGTGGGTGGGCCCCACGGAGGGTTGTCTGGCGCCCCG